ATGCTGTTATTGCAAGGATGACTCCACCCCCTGTGAGCAAAAGGTGTGAATAAGGGCCCCAATGATAATCAGGTGATGGGACACATGACCCTCTATGAACAATAGAGCCAATCAAGGCACAAACTACCTATTGTTTGGCTGATGGTCCTCTTTTGCATGTGACCAATCTGTTTGTCCATGTGGAGGCGGAGCTTATAAGGCTGAGTTCACCTGAAACTCATCAGACTGAAGAAGTCTCTTGGAGGAGAGACGAAACGTTTCACTAAAGAAGAACCATCCAGAGGACCTACTGATTTTTTCTTTTTGATTATAACATCATATAAAACTAAAAATTGATTTTACATGATATTGCCCCTTTAAAAAATCAAAGTTGACTAAAGAGCTGTACAATAAAACAAACACCGGTCGAATGTCAAATAAAAAAAACGAGTCATGTTTGAGAAAGAAAAGAGCATTTTATTCAGCAACATTTTCATTTATTTCAAAGAGAGTAAAGAATCAGAATAAGGTAACAGGAAGAAGCAATTAGGATTTTTTTTCTTGCATTTTACAATTTTTTTTATATTTTTTTGTTTTTTTCAGGAACTAGTTGGGAAAGTACCCAAACTATTTTCAGCAGTTCTTGTTTCAGGTCTATGGATCGGGTCGAGGCACGGCCACCAAACACCTTTATCCTTCCTTCGTAGTAGAGTTCAGGTCTTTCATCGGAAATATTTTTATTTTTTTTTAAAAATGAAACCATAGAACTCACTTGGTTTTCATGTTGGGCCCTCACTAAGTACAAATCTTCAAAAATTCATTTTTGTTGTGATTGTTTGCCAACGAGCATATTGCAGTTTTTTAGATACTTGATTGCATAACTTCTACCGGTTAGATCGGAGTAACGTCCAGATTATATTACAGTCCATAATTTGGTGAAATTAAAGCCGAATATCAGGAACCGACTGCCTGACCAAGGAGCAGCCGTGGGAAAAACCAAACGTCTGAGCAGAAGCGAAGACAAAAACAAAATAAAACCCAAACTAAAAAAAGCTTCTTTATTTTCTGTTTTGGATCAGGAGGAGAACGGCTGCACGTGGGAGTCAAACAGCAGAGTTTAGCCAGCTCCGGAGCTCGGCTGCTTGGTTTGCGTGGTTCAGTCTGGCGACAGGGGGCTTTACCTGCAAACCCGACAAYGCCAGCCGACCCCGGCAGAACCATGAGGTAGATAACTGGTCGAACGGACCACCAGAGAGAAAAAAACACCCTCTATTTTTATATGGTTTAAGTACAGCTCCTCTCGTGTCTTTAATACTTTTGAAAACAAAATAAGGAAACCATATTCTGAGTTTGCCACCACTTTTCTTCCCTCAGTATTGCCGTGAAACTCTTATTATTGCTACCAAATGAGCAGATAGCGAAACACTCAGTGTGATTTCACACATAACTGATCACTAGAAGGAGAATACCTGATCAGGTTGGATGAAAAAATGTCAAGAATGTTGGATGTTTTTGTTGGAAAGGCACCGTTTCCGATGATAAATTTATTAATTCCTAATGAAATGTGTTTTTTAAGCTGTCGAGTGCAGTTCGACTTTTGTTTGATGCAACTTTGAAAACCAAAATGAAGTTATTCCTAAAACTTCAGTGCAAACAAGTTTGTCGTGTACCACAATCGTAGAAGCTATAAAAAAATAAAATAAAATCACAAACACCGTCACGGGTGGAGGGGGGCAGGTGGGGGTGTTCATGCGTTTTAATGTAGGGGTGGAGGGTGAAAGTTACTGGAAAAGAGGAAAAAGAAGAACATCTTATCAAAATAAATCTACTTTTCTTTCTTTTTTCTTTTGACCAACCGTTTGAGTCTGTGTACGTTATCTTTGATTTCCACTACAAATGTTGAGGCTGTGCAAAAAACAAAACAAAAAATCAGTTCATGTATCTGGTCCGATCTGGGCAGGTTTTGATCCCTGTGGTCCTCAGCAGCTTCTCACCTGCCCTCTGAGTTTCAAAGCTGGAACGTGGCCTGAAATCAGGGACACAAAACAGAAAATTAATTTAAGTGAATGTAAGACAAAAACTAATATACATTATATACAATTGATCAAGTTCAAAAATGAATTATCTTGCCGGAAAATGCAACGAAAAATGAGCGTAAGATTTGAGTTAAAGAAATCACCGGAGATGCTGCAAACTCAGATTTGTGCTGAAAGAATTACTTGCCTCGACCGTTGACTCSGGTAATTTTTTAACAGGAATTATCTCAGTCTCCAGCATCTCGAATGATTCCTCTAAAAAAATCACTAGAGATGCTGTGGATTCAGATGATTTATGTAAATAAAAATAAATAAATAAAAACGACGCAGCTGATTCATGTTAAAAATTAGATCTCGTCAGTGAGGGACTCGTTAGTCCATGAAGTGACCTGAACTCAGCAGCTCCTGTGTTTAACCTCAGAGTTTTTACCTGGTAAACCGACCTGTGTGTTACTTGCTGAGTTGACTGTAGGGTGACGAGTTGTTGGAAGAATCCACTTGCTGCTGCAGCGAGTTGTTTTCCTGCAAAGCAAAACCAATTTTTTTGTTTTGTTTTTAGAATCTGATAATAACCATCCTCAGAGCAATATAAATTATGATTTTAGAAAACAAACACTTTAAAAAAATTATCTGAAAGCTTTAAGAACGAAGGACTTCTGGATGAGCAAACGTGAACAGGTACTGCAGGTAAAATACTTGTAGTGATACTTGTGCACTTTTATTTTAATTTCCTTTCTTTTTTTCCCTTTTAGGTTCTTCTCTGGTTGTTTCTTCTATGATTAAAATTATTGTCTGTACGTTGTTAACATGTCCAGAATAATCCAAACAAACATAAACTTACAGGTGCTGCCTGCATGGAGGGGTACTGAGGCATATAAGCTTCCTGGACGCTGGGGTTGGCAGAAATATACTGAAACAAGAGCACAAATGACATTTAATCCAAACGAATAAACATACAAGGTTCATACTCAGCCTTAAAATCTGTGCACTTTGACTTTAGTACTTTTTAGAAAAGTGTTGGTCAATTAATTGTGTCGTCTCATGAGCTCAACAAATATATATGAAAATATGAGTCTTCTTTATGAATTAGGAACCGTTTAAGTTTGGTTTTTATCAAATTACTTTCAGCTACTGTTTAGTTAGCTTTAGCTTTTAACTAGCTATATTTATTGATACATTTAGCTCCTGTTTTCTTCCAGTTAGCTGGCATTTTGATTTTTATAGCTAGCATTTTGTTACTTTGAATTTCTAGCATTTTGGTGTTTATAGCTAGCATTTTGCTACTTTGAATTTCTAGCATTTTGGTGTTTATAGCTAGCATTTTGCTACTTTGAATTTCTAGCATTTTGGTGTTTATAGCTAGCATTTTGATATTTATAGCTAGCATTTTGCTACTTTTAATTTCTAGCATTTTGCTGTTTATAGCTAGCATTTTGCTACTTTGAATTTCTAGCATTTTGCTGTTTATAGCTAGCATTTTGATATTTATAGCTAGTATTTTGCTACTTTTAATTTCTAGCATTTTGGTGTTTATAGCTAGCATTTTGCTACTTTTAATTTCTAGCATTTTGGTGTTTACAGCTAGCATTTTGCTACTTTTAATTTCTAGCATTTTAGTGTTTTTAGCTAGCATTTTGCTATTTTTAATTTCTAGCATTCCGATATTTATAGCTAGCTTTTTGCAACTCAGGCTACCTTTAACTTCTGCTTTGTTACTTTTACCTTTCTTTGTAAAAAAAATATATAAATCTGGAAATTCCAAATGAAAACTGCAAGATCAAGAGGTGAATCAGCAGCTTTACAATATATGTTGATTTGTTTGGTTTATGATATGTTGTCTCTGTCATGGTAAAATTTTGATTCAATTCACAAGTCTGCGGTCGATATGATGCGATATATGTCCATCTAACACAGATGACTGCGTTAAATGGACTTAATCTTTAATCGATATATCGATGTGGATTGATGTGTTGTTACACTCCTACTAAATATGAAWCTTTTTCATGCAGTGTCTTAGTTTAATGAATAAAACACATTAAATGTTTTTAAAATCTAAAAAAAAAGAAATATTTGATTAAAATGTCTCAAATTAAATTAAGACTGCAGTTGATTCATTTTGATTTTACATAAACAATGTGAACAAATGAAAATGTAGAGGAGTTCTGGACCACACACCGCTCCGGTGTTTCCCAGCAGCAGCTGGCCCATCTGCTGAGTGATCATGGCCGTGGGGTGCACCGGCATGGACGGGTCCACAGAGGGAGACATCACAGCAGCCTGAAGAGGACAACAGATCAGATTTAACCTCATGTCATAAAAAAATAGTTGAACTACTGGGTCCTGAGCGGCTGAAGAACACGAACATGCAGCTGAGAAAAAATTAAACTCAGTCAGATCCACAAAGATTATTTTATCAAACAAAAACTAAATTATATCTAAATATAGGCTGTAATAAAGAGCTTCTCTGTAGCACAGTGGATCACAGCAAGAAGGTCCTGGGTTCAGTCCCTGGTTTGATCCTGGGTTCAGTCCCTGGTTTGATCCTGGGTTCAGTCCCTGGTTTGATCCTGGGTTCAATCCCTGGTTTGATCCTGGGTTCAGTCCCTGGTTTGATCCTGGGTTCAATCCCTGGTTTGATCCTGGGTTCAGTCCCTGGTTTGATCCTTGGTTCAGTCCCTGGTTTAGACCTGGGTTCAGTCCCTGGTT